TGGTGTTTTTAGTGAGCATGTTGCTGCAATCTCCATCTGCCGGCTTTCAGAGAGCTTCAGCAAGACAAACAGGGGAGATCCACCGCTGCTCAATCTGTCGCTTGGTTCGGCCAAAACGCACAAGAAAAAAAAAAGAGAAGGGCAGATCTGTCATTGTTCTTTGTCAGTGGTTGTCATTGTTATCGGAAGAAGAAGAAGATGATGATGATGATGATGATGAAGAAAGGGCATTTTTCATGTATTATGGTTGTAGTTGATCCCAGAAGCTTTGAAGCAATGGGTTGTTGCTTTTTGTATCATTAGGTTCGTTTTGTTTGTTTTCGAGTGTGTTAAGTCCTCTATTTTTTGACATTGGTAAGAGAGCTCTAGAGCATATTGCTTCTTGCGTCTCAGTATGGCCTGCTCGAGTGTGTTCAAGTCCTCTATTTTTTGACATTGGTAAGAGAGCTCTACCGCTTGCTCATAGCTTGCCATTGGAGTGGGGGTTGTGTAGGATGAGTCTTTCTCCTCTATGGCTCCTTCTCTTCCTACAAACCAATCAGTGCCGCAGGGTCTTCCAAGAGAAGAGAACGAACGAAAGGCAGCATACCAAGCACACAGAGAGAGAGAGAGAGAGAGAGAAACACTCTCTCATTTCATTCCTTCTCGTGCTAATACATTGATGCAAATGCTGGTGCCGGTGTCGGAGATAATCAACTTCGAGCCCCCTCTCCCTCTCCCTCTCGAGTTGATACCAAAATCGTCTCTCCAAGATGAAAAGGGTATTTTCGAACATAAAAGGGTAAATTGGGTATTTTTGAAGATATAACAATCACGTAATGGCACATGTGAGCAGTTTATGACGGAATGTTAATGGTAATGGAAGTATTAGTTAGTTGTTAGAAACAGTAGGGGTAGCATTAGTCAATTTTCAAACAGTAAGGGTATGCTTAGTCAATTTGCTAAACCATAAGGGTAGTTTAAGAAATTTACCCAAAAAATAAATAAAACATAAAAAAAACCAATACGCTAGTAAAGCGTATCAGCCTGTATCGATATTTAAAACCTTGGAGGTAAAGGTAAATATTTGAGAAATAGGGGAAGTTTTAGTAATTGTCACATACTTGAGGGAGATTTTAAATAAACTTCCCTTAAAATAACATGCAGAAGCATGTTAAATAGTCATGTTTCATACTTTGTTGGTGTACTAGGAAATTACTTGATTTTTTTCTTTTTTACCATAAATGGTGTTAGTTCTCACAAGATCTATTATTAGCTATTCAGTCTAATGGTGTCGTTTGGCAAGTCCTTTTGGAAAGATCTTCCGTCAGATCAACTAACAACTAAAAGACGATGTGAGTTTTTGTAATAAATTTTAGTAGGTTGAAGACCATTTGGTTAAGGCATATCTTTTTGTGCATCTTTCCACATGAAAACACGATAAAAAAAAAAGTCAAAAAGCTCCATCTAGAGCTTCCCAAAAATAGCTTAAATTGGGTTTTGCGCGTCTTTTTAGGGCATCATATTTCTGGTGATTAGATCTTTTCTCAGCCAAACAAAAGAAAATCAAAACGCAGATTACTGAGCTTCTAAGCAACCAACAGCTTGCACGGAAAGACTCACCAATTGGATATATAAGAGACTAAGAGAAAAAAATAAAAATAATCCCAACTCTTAAGTGCAAAAGGAAAGGATTATTTGTACTAACAAATGATTGTACTTGCAATATAATTCCATTTCTGAATGGGATCTATTTTCCTTTTGAAATCCTAGAACCAAAAAGAAAACATACCCATGACATGATTCTTTTTTTTTTATTTTTATTATATATATATATATAATAATTTCAATGGCCAGCATTCCTTTGGAAGAGGAATTATACAATTATATATGTTGAAATCTGATGCTGACTAGGACACCAAACACTTGATGAATCCTTTCACACATTTGACAAACAGTTTGTACTAACAACAAGGGAAAACCTTTTCCTCTTTTGAGTAAAAACCCATGCAGCTTTTAAGTGATGGAAAAGCTGTACAATAATGGGTATCATGGCTCCTTCTGTTCCTTTTCCATTCTTCCATCACCATTTTCATTAATTTTAATTAGTTGGTATTTTACAGAGATAGTCATGATATTTATTATATAATAAGTTTCACCTTATTAAGATATTATATATGGGTTCTCATTCGAATTAATTGTTTTCTGATTTCATGAATGAAACTTAATTAAAAAGGTGCCCTATGGGCTATGGCTATGGATGATTTGTTACTAACAAGCTAGTCTAGCAAATACATCGGTTTCATTGAGTGACATTGTACAATTATGACGCATGTGGCATGTCAGGCACCTCGATAGCAACACGTGTCGACTTCCAACTGGACATTGCAAATGAAAAGGAATCTAACCTCTAATGAGAATTGACAATTAATGAAAATGGTGATCATGTGAAAGACCTAAACTGGATGCACTACTGTTTGGAGTTTGGACGGATATCTGCTCATCCATTTCTTTTCTTTGATTGGCATAAGTCATAACTCAGCTCGCAACTTGCAACGATCAACCCAGCAACCACCATACATTTTACGGCCATCTCCGGCGGACTACTCAAGTCGGAGAGTTCCTTTTAGCCCTTTACCTCCTGCTTCCTGTAAACAAAATTCAAAACTCTCGATCGATCGTCCCAATAACTCCATAATAAAGCTGGTACTATTTCAGTAATCACCGAGTCGTGAACTTCATAAACACTCGTACATGTGTTCTGAGAAAGCTGACATTGTTTAAAGGAAAAAAAAAATATTCCTCTCTACTGGTTAAAGCCTTCCCCAATCAAGAATCCGAGGTTCCATCGGAACAATCCAGCCCGCAAACTGAACTGTCACTTGCATCACTGAATCTCCATTCTTCATATTGGAAAGTGGAAAACTAGCCAACCAAACTCCACGTTAGTGCAGTTCAAATCAAAAAATGAAAAATCTTAAAAGATGAGCCCCAGTAATTTTCATGAAGGGTAAATTACAAAAACCCACTTGTGGCCTTGTGGGTCGGTGACAAAGACCCCTCTCAATTTTTATTTTCAACAGATACTTCCTCGAATTTTCACTTTACAAGAAATAGAAAATACCCATTGAAACTTTCCTCATTTTATTTTCTTTACCCTTTTCTCTTAAACCCTAATTGACCCCAAAATACCTCTATTTTCTATAAATAAAATCAATTAAAATAACAAAAACCATTTCATTGACATAGAAAAATGAATTTCTTTAAATTCCCCTTTTCATTTCACTGACATGAATGTATTCCCCTATCTTAAAATATATAATTTGTTCACTCTTTTCTCCAATAAACGAAGAAAAACCAAATGAAATCTTATATTTATATCTATTAAAAAAAAAACTCAAAATCAAATGAAATCTTAAGTTTAAATATAAAAGAAATCTATAAGGATGTTGAAATAAATAAGAAAAAGGATAATTTGGAGATTTAAAAAATTTTAAGCAGTTAAATGAGAATCTTTTTTGAAATTAACTCTAATAAGAAGAGTATTTATTGCAAAATGAAAATTCAGACTCAGTAGGTCTTTGTCACTGACCCCATGATATAGGGGGTCTTTATAAGTTACCCAAAAGTCATGGCGGGCCCTAATCTACACATTTTCACTTTCAAACTGGGACAACTCTAGCTTTTTCACTTGAGTTGAGTTACTACTTACTACTACCTGCAATAAGCCGCGGAGCCGATAAAGGGTTGGAGCCCGTTTGGGATACTCTGTAAAATGGCTACGGGAATAAAAAGCTAATATCAGATGTGGAAACGAGCAGCTAGAGTTGCGACTCAGACAGAACCCCCCCATGTGATCTTCTCCTCATTTATGTTCAGGGGACCCCACCAAAGCCAAGGCTGCTTATTCCGAGAGTTGACATATTTCAATTCGTCCCTCTTTGGTCATTAAGAGGGTGCTTGATCATTTAAAGAGAAGTACTCAGTATAAGCAAGTTGATAAACTACAAAATGGTGGCGGTAAGTCATTTGGAAGAGCCTTAAGATAGGATTCATTAAAATTTATTTTGACGTCTCCCGTGTGGGTGGAAGTTGTTCTATTGCAAGCATTGCTACAGATTACTCCGGAAGTATTCTCGACATTAAAGGTTATAAATTGGACTGCACTAAAGAATTTGGGGGATTTGCTCTCTCTTGACCCCTCTAATTTGAAGTGTTGAAGCTTACTACTTACTTCATTGTGGGTTTGTGGCCTCAGCACCTAATAACTAATAAGATCCATTGTATGGGCTCAGGTGTATTATACTTTTATTGGAGTCTAAGCTAGGCAAGCCCAAATGATGTTTAATGTCTAACTTTAATAAGTAAACTTGAACAACTTCAACGGCATTGATTAGTCGTGGGCCATGTGACACTACAGGGTTCTGTTTACCTGGCCATGATGATAATAAATATATGCATCAACGGCCATTATGTCATAGCTAGTCCCTACAAGAAGAAGAGAGCTCATTACCATTACCACTGGATTGGCATCAGATGTGGGACGCACTGTATGTATATAATAAGTAGCAAGATACCAAGTTGACTTATTTTAATTAATTAATGTTTCCCCACCATACTTATGACTTGCGAGATTTTTTTTTCCATCTTTCTATTGAAAGTTTGAAACATGGATCTTAAATAGAGGAAAAAAAGTGAAAATTATAGAAATAAAAATGGACTTTGATAGTTTAATGAGGCCCATTAACGAAAGTACAAGTTGACTATGAGGGAGACTGATGAGTCTATGACTCAAAAAGCTGAAGCTCGCAAATAGTTTACTTAATTGGAGTTAGAGGGAAATTGACTCTATGACTCAAATTAACTAACCCTAATTAACCACTGCAATGCGAGCATCAAATTAATTAATCCCAATTTCAAGATGGCTGTGAGCTAGAATTTGAATCCAACTAAGCTAAAGTGATGATACATATATAGAAGAAGGTGGAGTAGAAGAGAAAAACTTGGGACCGGACCATATATTGAATATGTTTGTCTAAAAAGTTTTTATTGGTTGAGAAGAAGAACCTTCTTGAGAAAATAAAGCTTCCCTCTCAAGTCTCAAATAGTCAAATTAGAAATTACCCTAATTTATATTTAAAACATAAAAATAAAAATATAGAAGAAAATTATTGAAAAGAATAATTACAAAACACAGTCGTTTATTGTTGGAAGAGAGTTGGTGTCGGGCAGTGGGACGGCTTGCCAGGCCGAGGCTGCGATGAGAGGCCGGCTATGCCAGCCCAGTGTCAAGCAACCCTGGTTCTCCTCCACGCAATATCCCTCCGCCGAGAACAACGTCAATAGCATACTGGCTTGCTTGAATGCATTTGATCCTAGATGCAACGGCCGGAAACCGGCTCCACCCAACCGGGCTCTCCACTTTGCCAGCGGTTCGTGGCGCTCCACCCGAGCCGAACCTTCACAGCTTACCACGTTACAAATCTCCCTCTGTATGTACATCTCGGCCACGGCCTTTTCCGGTTGGAGCGTGCAAGACTCTAGTGAATCAAACATTGTGGAATAGTAATATAATGCCTCTGTGAAACGATCCAGGAATTCCGGTTGGTTGTGATTCGCCTCTTGTTCCACCACCGTTATGATCTTCGGGTTTAGACTACGAACCCATCCGAGTACCGAGTCGATGGGTGAGCCGCGATTAGGGTCTGGACCAAGTAGCTTGTGGAGCTGCATTATTGAATTTATGGCAACCGCCTCTCTGGGACCGACTTGGAGCATCCACGGCTTCACATCATCGAGCCGTGAAGCTGCCACTCCTCGGAAGGCAAACCGGACGTTTACGGACCGGGCCAGCTCGGCGAGCTTCAACCCAATTTCACGAAGCGAATCGCGCCCGTCGGGAGATGGGGGTCCAATCCCGGTGAGACGGAGTAAGGGTGGACCACCCGGACGGAGTGCAAGGGCTTGAATCAGGGCCGGCCATTGTAGTCCATGCATCAGGTTGAAATCGACGACGTGGACACAATCGTGGCCATCGAATGCTTCGAGGATGGCCTGGTTTGCCGTGAAGTGGGCGAACTTGAGGTACGGGCAGGCCTCGTAGAAGTGATGGTACAAGATCTCGTTCTCAAGCACGGAGCCGGCGCATACGGCTTGGGGTGAGAAAAGCCGGCGGCTCAGGGCGTCGATGAAGTATCCGGCGACTTTTCCGATGCCGCATCCAGTGTTGACACGCGACAATAACGCCCGCATCTTTTCTAGCAAGGTTCCAGCCAATGCGAGGTCGCCACGTTGTATTGACTCGGCGCACGTGAGCAGCAAATGCACTAACTTGATGCCGGAATCTTCTTCAATTGCAGCCACCACAGTCAGCTGCTGCTGCTGAAGAGGAGGTTGTGGTTGTTGCTGTTGCGCACTCTGATCAGCCCAGGCGTCGGTAAGCACCTCGTGTTGGAGGGGTGGAGTTACTAAATCATCCATGTAATGGAAATCGGAAAAGTCTGATAGATCAGAAGATGATACAGGGAAGGGCTGATTGATTTCTGAGAGCATGGAGTCCACCCAGGATGCAAGGTCGGAGGGGTTGTAGTGTACAGCCTCGGAGGCGAGTTGGGAGATCTCTGTTGGAGCATTGACCATGAACGTCTCCAGTTTCTCGAGACGCTGTGCCACCTGGTGGAGATCTGAGGACCTCACCTTGTACCCGGCACCAGCTAGTAGCCCGTCTAGTTCCGTCGGTTTTCCCCCCGCGCATGAAGACGAGCTGCTGCTGCTGCTTCCGGCGGAGATACCGTAGTCATACGGCCCCATCCCCCACTCACTTGTGTTTTCCCGCTTAGATGAAAAAAATGCTTTGGCGTTTCGCCTGAACCATCCGGACTCCGACAAGGGGACTAGCAGGCAATAGATAGAGAGACACTGAGGCGGAGGGCAGAGGGCGGAGGAGAGGTGGAGAATGTGGAAAAGAGGTTGAGAAGTGATATGTGAAAGAGAGGGGAAGGTGGGTTTTGTTATTTTGAGAGAGAGAGAGAGATGACTGATGACGTAAGCGGGGGATTACATGTATAGAAACCGATAGCAGGGTTGTTTTTATCTTTCTTCTATGCCGGCCAACTGTAAAACTGTTAAAAGATGCATGGATATGCATCCATCGGAGGCCATGCACGTAGCATGACCCCACGATCCCATTTTCTCTCCTTTTTAACCTTTTTTTTTTTCTTTTCTCGTCGCTTGATTATCCAATTCATCTCATCTCGCGAGATATAATAATAAGACGGTACATATACATAATAACTAATAAGTTGCACTGTTAACGGCTACCGGGGAGTATAGCAATGTGGTGGGTCAGCCACACACACAATATTGAGGAGTGATGTTGCATGCTTGGAACCAATGCCATTTTCTGAAAAGTGTTTTTTGAGAAAAGGGTGTTGCATTGGTATGCGGTTTTCTCATAAAACGTTTTTTCTTTTTGTTTTTTTTTTTTCTTTTCTTTTCTTTGGAACCGTTTCTATTGATGCCGCATAAGCATTTTTCAATGCCACATCAGTATAATATTGTCAGCAACAGTAAAATAAGAAAACACCAAACATGTAACCAAACATCAGACATGGTCTAAAAACCGGATTCAGATTATGTTGCCATTTTTTAAACACTAGTTAAGGAAACCCTAAGAGATATCTATATATATAGTTTATAGATGTGTTTAAAATAATGGGATTGTTAGATAGATTGATAATTAATGTACAAAGATATGGGTCAAGGGAGGTCAATTAATCCACAACCTTCCTTTTTATCTCTATTAACTTTTCGAGGTTAATGAGCTTTCCCAGGTTTATATATTCCATGCTCTACTTTTTAAATTCATCCGGTTACACCTAATGCTCTCGTAAGTTGTACCTTGTACTGTACTGTGACAAATAAAAAAAACAGAAGATCATCTTTTATCTTTGCAACAGCTACAAGAGCTAGCTAGCTAGCTGCAAATTAAGCTGTTATAGCTACATCATAGCATGGTCAAGCTGTAGCTAGGCTTCTAGCTAGACACCATGTTCATGTATATATGATAGAGCTACTGAATCTAAGTAATATGCATGCATCCAACTACTAGACCCAACAGTTTCTTCATGTTTATGCATTGTGAAGCTGGGGTTTAATGTCTTCATCCATGTTTTTTCTGAGTTTGTAGTCTTGAGATGCGAGTGAGTGAGATTTAATATTAATTGAGAGATCTTCCAACCATTGGACATTGATTTTTGGCCACCTGTCAAATTCTTCAATCCAGGTCAGCTATAATAATAAAGCTTCAAATTAAGTCTTCAATTTTGGGGTTGCCTGCAAAATGCATGAAGAGACTAGAGAGGACGCTTGGTGCATGTAGAGGCCGGCAAGTGGGGTCAGGTGGAAAAGATTGCCGGGGTTATATATTCAGTCATTCAGCAGGTCAGAGTCCTCTACACGACTCGACCAGCAAAGAATCTTATTCTTTTGACGAATAATGCATGAGTATGATGGATTCCTATTTCCTAATAAGCCCTGGCCTAACGTGTTAACCACTCATCATCAACTACTTTTGAAAGAAATGACCAAAAGACATGAAACCTCACAAGTGACAAGCCTAATCACTGCTGAATCATCAATAACTCATGAATCACGAAGAATTTTTAGAGTCTTTGTTTTCCTCCAACTCGATCAATCAAACCAAACGAAATGATTATGGATGTTGCCTTTAAGCAACTTTTATATAAAACTGTTTTTTTTTTTTGGGGGGTAAGTAATATAAAAACAGTCGGGAAGAAAGAAATTGCGATGCTAAATTTGGGAGTGTTTAGGATAAATAGTTATTAAAATAAACACTTATTTTGAGCTGGGACTACATCAATAAGCGCTTATTTACATTTAAAAGATAAATTTAGAATAAGTGTTTATTTTAAGATTTGAGAATCATAAATTTTGGATTTATTTTTAAGTGTTTATTTATTTTCTGACTTATCTGGGCTCTTACATCATTTCCAAAATATCTATACTATCTCTGTTTAAAATAAGTGACTTTTCACCAAATGCTAATAAAATACTTATTAGAATAAACAATTGTTCTTAATCACTTATTTTTTAAATAAACACTCTCAAACTTGGCCTTAATTTTCTTATGGTGTAATGTAATGACCAAAAGGTGTCCCAATAAAAAAATATCACTCAAATTAAGAACACGTGCCATTGTATTACCCACAGAAGGAATTGCGCAGTAGGTGCCCTGCCCCAGAGAAAGATAGGCCTTTGATTTGAATTATTTATCCATAATCACCATTTAAATAAAGATAATTTAAATTTTAATCCACTCATTAGTTTCCCAAGGACCCCAGAATATATCGTGAGATATTGGTAGTTAGGTTCGCTTAATAAGATAGGTTGGAATTTGGAAACAGTATCCACTCTTTCCCGGTGATGACTACGTCGCGGTCTGTATCAACATCAAACTACCCAATACCCAATGAAAATTGAAAACCCATTAATTAAAGATAATTAATTAATTAATTAGAACATAATTAAACAAATAATGGAGATACTTTTTTTTTTCTCAAGCTCAATGAGGGGCTCGTAGAAATTAATAAATCAATAATATTCTTTGGTTATCAAGCAAATCACAGTCACAAGTGATTAGCATCTTCCTTTGATAATTAATTAAAACCAAAACCAAGGTGGATTGTCATACGTTGATGAAAAGGTCTAATTTTTTAACCAGACAGTAGGGTGATTTGATGACTTTAGTATGTACTCGGCCACTCACAGCTTAGATGCTAATGAAAATAATAATAACAATTATGATAACCAATTAACCACGTTCTTTGGAAGATAATGACCTCTTAACAACCATTATTTTAGGATGATGAAACATATTATTCAGAGAAGTTAGATAATTTTATACGGAACAAAGAAGAAAAAATAACAATTGATTAATTTTTGTATATTTTCTTTTATTTAGAATGCAGGAAAAAAATAGAAAAAAAGGGGTTATCGAACTACCATGAAATATACTAAAAATAATTTTAAAAGGAAAAACTACTGCTTAATGTCTTTTATGTAATTGGATATTGATTTTGCACTAATTAATCCAAGATTTTACATGTCTCAATACTGAGATTTCGCAGCATTCAACAAATTAGACTGCTTTTGGATTATTAATATATTCTCTACCAGTGGGTAGGAATTTATTAGATGGTGGATTAAAAGGGCTGTACTTGTTCATCACATGACCCTCTCTCCTCCTGTGGAGCTTCGATCCGATAAACAACCCCCTCCACCTCCCAAGAAAAAAAAAAAAAAAACAAGAGATATTCTTTTCAGCAATTCTTCCGAAAAAACTAGGAAAGCAAAATGAAGCTTATGCAATTGTTGGGGGAGGATTCAAATATGGTTAATATGAAGTGGGCATTTTCCACAACTCTTTGAAAATTCTTTTCCTTTTTTTGGCAGAGGAGATAGAAATGTGTTTCCATTCATTTGAGGGATGAATTCTATTAGGCTCAGTTTGGGAAGAGTACAAGTACAAATATGTATAGTGCAAAAACATGTATTTTGTATTTCTAAACCTTGTTTTGCACTGTACATATTTATATTTGTACTCTTTCTAAACTGGGCATAAGCAATATTTCCATGAAGATTCTTGAAGAGGGCATTAATAGGAGAGGGAGAGAAGGTTTTGTGTCACTGACAGACAACTCGTCTGATATGTTAATTAGAAACATAGATGGGTGTGATAAACTAACAGAAACAACCCTTGAAAGTGATTAATGAGAGTAATGAATTACATCAGCTGGTAGATCTTAGTCATAGTCTTATTAGATAAATAGCTAGGTGGGGGGGATCAAAGACGACTGCATGCACCACCCCATCAGTCTTAAGGGGGTTGCTAAGTTTTAGATACACCCAACTTCAATAATTCACCAGTGTTCTTAGACATTTTGAGTAGTTAGGCACCTTCATTTCAGGTTTTGATGCTCACTAGTCAGAGGGGGCAATTCATCAGGTCGGGCTGGAAATGCCCAACTCAAATTTATTCCTGATTGCAGGATGAGCTAGCCAAGCCTAAAATGACTTGCTTTTTTGCTTTGGATGGAACGGGTCAGGATTCAGGAGTAGCTAGCTTTTGTTGGGGATAAATAATATTCTAGCTAGCATGAGGGATGTTTGAGCTGAGGAGCGTGGAAATGGGTCACTAGACATCCATCAAATTATAACTACTAAAATAATGTCGATTCAACATCATTTGCGGAAGCAAGTGGATGAAGAATACATATTCAATGTCATGGAAATGGGGAAGGATTTTATTTTCTACCAGAATATCCTCCCAATTTGAGGTTTTGAAAGAAGAAAAGATATAGGAGTAGGACATCAGCAATTATTATAATAAATATTCACACTAAGATAGATTATTCTAATCTAACCCTCTCTAAAGATTAAATAAAAAAATAGTTTAAAACTCTCTCTCTCTCTCTCTTAATTAACTATTAGTTATCTATGGTTTCATGAGAAGGAAGACTTGTCAGAGACATGTAATTAGTTTTAAGTAGTCAAATGAGTTAATTCAAGACATGGGTCTCCCTAGAATTCTACTGTTGGAGTGTTTTTAGGTCTCCAAGATCTATATTCCATGTGAGTTTATTATTCTACTTTTCATTCTGCAGAGACCACCTTGAATATCTGCACCAGCTGCATGTATATATTTTGTATAACTGTTATAGACTGAACGTAGTTATTTTCTGCAAATACTTTTGGGGTGTCAGGACATGTGAACAAACACAAAACATTCAATATAACTATAAATCATTCCATACAGGGATCAAGTTCGAGCAATCAGCTCAGTAAAATTCCTGTAGATGAATCACATCTTTTGTTTAAAAAAGAAATAAAATATATAAAGAAGAGCAGAAAGAAACTGTTGGCAACTATTGGGTTTGGGGAGACTAATTAAAATATTATGAAGTTGAAATTAATCAAGAGATTATTTTATTTATCCTA